TGGGGTGTGTGTGTGTGTGTGTGTGTGTGTGTGTGTGTGTGTGAGTGTTATTCCCATTACCTGGCAGGATATACACCAGGGGGCATGTTCAACACTCTGGGCCGGGGTTATGTGATGTGGAAGTTCAGGAGGCTCTAGAAGATAGGAAGATTAATCTGACACAGGCTGAAGACAAATTTGAGAGGGAGGGAGATGGGAAGACCAGATAAGACTCTATCGTGGTAGTCCAGGAACTAGGTGAAGAAAGCCTACACTAGGTGGTAGCTATAGATATAAATAGGAAGAGACAGCAAACATTCCAGCAGTTACCTAAACATGATTGTTTCAACATCAATAAAAGGCTGTAAAAGAGTATTACAGTCATGGGAAGGAACACTAGGCAGCCATCCAAGAGAATTAAGTAAATGTAACTATTCAAAAGGTATTCATAGGCAAAAATAACTGATTGCAAAGAGTACATATAGTGTGATTCCATTTGTATAAATATGTACATAAATATATATATGTTGATACATTAAATTTATCTGAAAAACACACACCAGATTGTTAACATATGCAGAATGGCATTGGGGAAGGTACCAAAGGTTTTTTACTACAATATCACACAATTTTATGCTATTTGTTGTTGTTTTTCTATAAACATGTATTATTTTACATTAAAATATTTTAAAAGAAATAATTTAAATAACTCAAGTTATGTAAAGGAAATATCTAGAATATACTTCTAACCACAGTTATTTTAAATGTCACCTAAAATCTCTTGTCATAAAACACACAGCATTAAAATGTAAGTACAGTATGCATTTTGACTAAAAATATGACCCTTAATTTAGAAACACTAATGAGACAAATGAACTTGGGAAGGCATGGTCCAAAATCAGAGACCCTTTTATTCAAGAATGAAGCCACTGTCAGGTTCTAGTTTATCCAAGAGTCAGAAAGTATTTCCTAATTAACGAGTAATGAGGACATTAATAATCCACACCATGAAATCTGGGAGAAGGTTAAAGTTTAAAACCATGAATGTTTTGCCCACAGACACACTCAAATTTATTTCATATTTTATAGGCCATTTAAAAGTATGATTAAGATGGCCAAAGAGATAAAAATGAAATTAATAAAGAAATCTGGCATTAAAAACATGTTGCTTTGAAGAAAGCTTTTCATAGTAGTTCTTTCTTAAAAATAATGACTTTCTGAAGACACAGACCAAGTGAAAATGGTCTGAACCATTTTCTATTTCAAAACAAGGCTCTAGCCATAGCTGGTTTGGCTCAGTGGTGAGAGCGCTGGTCCACGAACTGAAGGGTCTCGGGTTTGATTCTGGTCAAGGGCACCAATCCATATGTCTCTCTCACATCGATGTTCCTCTCTCACTCTTTTTCTCTCTCCCTCTTCCCTCCCTCAACTCTCTCTGAAAAGCAATGGAAAAAATATCCTCAGGTGGAGATTAAAAAATAATAATAATAATAAATAAGACTATATGTTATTGTTTTGAAATAAAGAATATTACTCTTTGAAGCAATTATAGATACTGCTTACATCTTAACTTTATTATTATTTTTAACTCTTTTAGGTGCCAGTTCAACAGATTCTGACAGTGAAAGTTTAGCTTTCATATCGAAACCTGGAGCTATGCCACAGTAAGTGCTTCTGGTTTCATCAGTTATATAGCAGTGAATGTCAGCAGAATTGTTGGGGTAGGAAGCCACACGTGTTGTGTTTTCAAGGAAACAGTCAACTGTTGTCAATCAAAGATCAAATACTTGAACTTGGAACATAATTTTTAACTTATGAATTTGAACTTTGAAGTCTGCATTTCATCATCAATATGCCAAAATCTAACCATATATAATGTTAGTTTCAAAGACAACTAACCAGTTATAAATTTATGAAAAGAACAGTCATGTTGAGAGAGAATTTATTAAATCGCTACTAAAAATAAGTGAGGATCAATGTATTTATATAAGTTGGAAAATATCTCATTAGGCCAGCAATGTGTTTCCATTTAAATAAAGTCTATTTCTAGTTAGATCTTGTCATGAAAATCTCACAATTTAGTTCTTCCTACAAAGATGTATGGATTGTTAGTAAAATGTTAATATCTTAATTATTTTGCAAAAATTAAATAAAATCTGCCAGAATTTTGTAGAAAACTCTGTGACTATTAAGACTCTGTTAATAAGTTATCTTGATCTGCTGGTATATACATAACAATTATGCTTATTCAGCATCAAATAGTCACCAAATATTAATGCTAAAGGGACTTTAATAAGATCATATATGTACTCTACCACCTCTCATTTCAGAGAAGACTCAAGTTTAGTGAAGTTACATGACTGGCTTGGGATTCCACAGCCAATGACTTAATAAAACTGGGTCTAGAAACCAATTCTTTACCTTTGTCCACACCTCAGTAACTCTTATGCACTAAAAAAAGATAAAAATTTCAAGGCACTCTCAACTTCACAAAATTAGAACCAGAACAAAGAACAGCTGCTAGACTTAAAATAAACAACCAAAACTTTGAATTAAATATAGAACCCTAACCCCAAAGATTTCAAATATCTTCTTACTGCTAAAGATTAGACTTTTTCTAAGTATTTTCTATTCTCTTATTTTCTAAGTATATTCTATTCACGTTCAGTACCTTAGCTTCACTGATAATGGCTACTTTTCTTTTACCCGTGTGTTTATTATGCTAATATCTGTAAGGTTCATTCTGTGCATATATTGGCCACAGCTATTCTAACTGGTCCTATTTCTGAAGCACTTAACCGCTAAAGTGGATTAAGTACACACACACACACAAAACAAAAAAACTGGGCCATTCTGTGGAAATGCTTTAAAGAATAATTGCTGCTTTAGAATAATTCTGACAGAGCACTTGCCTCCCTATTTTCCAGAGCTCAGAAGAAAACAACTTCCGTTTCCCTGACCATAGGATCATCGTCTCCAAAGGCGGGAGTGACCACAGCTGTGATCCAGCCGTTGTCTGTCCCTGTTCAACAGGTAAGTGTGCCTCGGACCAGACCCACAGGGAGTGAAATTCACCAGCAGACTTCTTGGTTTAAAGAATATAGCTTTAATTTTACTAGCCTACTCCCTTGAAATAATTTCTAAGTCGAAATACAACTGGGAGAAAAGAAAATGGTAGGTAAAGTTCTTCCGTTTAATCCACTAAAAATAATCTTGAATCAAAGCCACACCACCAGTCAGTCAACATCTGTATTTCCTTTGGGAACTTCCCTTTTTCACAGCCAATAATCTGGTAAAATATCTGTTTTATCTATGACTAGTTGATTATTCCCCCACACATGTGCTCTCTTCCATTTAGCCAAATTTATTATCTCATCTAAACAAATGAGAAGACAAGAGAAGTCTACATACCAACGGAACTATTCTCATCCTCTAAACACCAAACAGATAATAAAAAGAATTAAAGTTCCTTGACTTCGCCATGCATTTTTATCTTGCTTTTATTTTGCTGTAAGTCTACTTTACCCAAGAAAGAACAACAATATTAACTACTGGAAAGAAACTGCCGTGAGTTTACTTTGCAAACACAAACAAAACGAATTTTTTTTTTAAGTAATAATATTAAGATATAAATATCTCTAAATCAAATACATGCTCCTGTGCCTTTGTGCTGTGATGAGTATCTTTAAATACAACACACACAAAAGGCTTCCCCAGCACCCTTGAACTGTAAACTCATCCCTTATTGTATGTTAAATATGTTTTGTGAGCATTACCACACCCTCTCTCTATCGAGCACTCATAGATATTTTAGTAATTATAGGTGTGTGTCATATACTCTGTGATATGTAGAATATGCAGACAGTAGAGAAAATACATTTGAGTTCATAAACATGAGAAGAACTAACCAGTATGAGTTACTTGGAGGTGGCATATATAGTAGGTATTTCCTTTAAACCCCTAAGCTAGAATGGAATTTATAGAAATATTTCTGATTAAATCAGTGGATTTCTTTTTGATGTTTGATATTTATGTACCGATAAGTAATGGATGCTTAGCACTGTGCAAGGCTTTTCACAACAGAAAAAAATACATACCACCAGCTCCATTCCCAATTTATAAACTTTGTGTGGGAAACGGGAAATACACACGTGAAACACACCCTGAATGCGGTGGACTGTTTTAAGATGTAACACAGAAGCCTAAAAGCAGGAAGACACGCATGCATCCAGATGTGTAAATATCATAATAATGTCAGCAGTACATGTTTGAAAATGTATCTTTATTAGCAGTACATTTTTTAAATGGTTTACATTTTACAGGAGCACTGAATGGAAGGTAATATATCGCATTTGTACAGTTGGGAGAATGAAGTGCTCAGAGAAACTCCATTGCTTTATTGTAGGCAAGGTGACCTAAAGGTTAATGCCCTGGGTTCATACTGCCTGGGTTTGAATGCCAGTCCTACCACGTACTACTTAAAGGACCCTGAACAAGTAATATAACCTTTCTATGCCTTTTTATTTTTTCATCTGTCAAATGAAGATAATGTCATCTATCTCAAAGGATTATCACAAGGATTCATTGAGCTAATTTCCATATAACACTTAGAACAATGCCTGGCACAGACTAAATACTGGATCAGTGTTCAGATATTCTCTGGACATAAAAAGACAGTGAAAAGTGAGACCCAGGCCTTCTGAATAAGTAACAAGCCTACATAAAGTCTTACAAGGATAGTGAATAAGACTCATTACCACGACCCTAGCATCTCTGCCACTCTGCCAACATTTTTTGATGATGTCCTGTGGCATATGTGGACACATAATATCAGATCACTACCACCTTAGGTTAAAAAACTAGTAACCACCTATATAGAAGTGAAGAAACCCAGAACATTTGAAAATACATGACTGTACACAAAGAAATATTTTCCATTCACTACTCGGAAATCCTTATATTTTTCCCAAAGTGAGTATCATTCAGAAAGTGTTTCAGCACTTTGTTTTCTGCACATCAAGGAAAAAAAAGAATATATTCCTTTTTTCTTCCTTTCCTCTAATCCCTACCTATATCAAAAAAGAACACAAGTTAAAAATAAGATCGATTGATGTTTGATCATTTATCCCCCACTGCCAGTAACTTGTACTTTTTCTTCAATGAATCCAGACTATATTAGAAAAATAAAATATAATGTCTGGGAGAGCTTTTAAAAAGACTCCTATGGAAGTCCCCGCCACAGAAACCCGTTTGGTAAGAGCATTTAAAAGTTCGGGAGCCCCAAGGAGCCAGGGGACTTTTGTCTTGAATATCCTTTTGAACAGAGAAGAGTAACAGATGTGCGGTGAGGAAGCAGACAGTGTCTGTGCTGTAAGAGCAGATCAACAGAATGATATATGGAGAGACTTTCATTCACTCGGTTCATTCATGTGCAGCGACCTTAATAATGAGAGGTTTCTTTAGCCCATCTTTTCAGCCGTTTATATATTTAGAATCTGATCCATGTGTCTCTGCTTTTCCAGGTTCACAGTCCAACGTCGTATCTCTGCAGACCCGATGGAACCACTTCTGCCTACTTTCCTCCTGTTTTTACAAAGGTCTGACATCTGCAAGTCTCATTCTCTGTATTTGCTTTGGTGCTTAAGTTCCACTCACATGTGGCTTTGTGTAGCAGCCTTTAAAAAGTAAAGGAACAGATCAGTAGATTGGTCATTGTGGCTACCTTTGGGACTCGGTAGATATTTATTGAACGATGGCTATGTGACTGTAATCTCGTGAAGGGTCGGAGAAATGTGGACATGGTCAGTGGCCAGGTAGAGGTCCAAGTAGAGTGGGAAAGCCAAGACAGACAAAATAAGACAAAATTCTGTCTAGCATATTGCTTGGGAAAACCAGCAAGCTTTATAGAAATGTTACAAAAATGACTGATTTTCAGTTTGTTCTAAGGTGGTGTTTTGCATTGCCGAGCTCAATGACATTCATTTCATCAGACAACTGCTCAACTCAAAAATGGTTCCACATAGCATTTCTTCACCCTCCCCCCCCCCACCTTAAATGGAAAGATAACACCATGCCTGTGGAGTGGTAAATTGTAAAGAAGGTAGGGCTTCCAGAGTAATCTATAAATGTAATGCAAATTTAGCTGAAATTCCAGTGAGTTTCTTGTATTTATTTGTTTAATACTGAATTTGGCAATTTGATTCTAAAAGTTTAGCAGAAGAAAAAAATAGCTATAAATAGCCAAGACACTCCTACAGAAGAAAAATAAGGTGGTGTTAGGGAAGGGGTGGGATTTGTCCTCTGAGACATCACAACTTCCTAAATGGGTACTATTAGGATCCTGTGGAGCTGGCACAGGCCAGACAATTTGACGAGTGGTCAGAATAGAGCCCACTCCAGTACCTGCAGAAACCTGCAGACCGCTGTGTAAAGAATGGATTCTTCAGCAGAGGTGAAAAATATTGAATTAGATTTTTCCCTTACACTTTTCACAAAACTCAGTTCCAGGTAAACTAAAGACAAATGGGATAAGCAAATCTATAAAACTTCTCTGAGGCCGTAGAGAACATTTTCATTTTCTTCGTGTAAGGAGTGATTTTTTTCCTCCTAAGCCAGCCTGTACCCAGCTTTATTAAAGATTTTTTTCATAAACAGACCATTTACTGTAGGACACGGACAACAAATGATAATAGCTGGCAACAACTTTGAAAAAGTCCTCTCCTGGATAAACTACCAAAAAAAAAAGGTCGTATAAACCAATGTCCCTGTAAACAGCCAATGAAGTTGTCCTTTGACACTCAGAGCAGGAAACGTTTGCAGAGGGGTAGACGTTCACATTTATATGTAGCTTAAGAGCTTCCCACAAGCTGCTTTACGAGGCCATCACCAGAAAGTCCATGTTCCCTAATGTATTATTATTGCCTGGGACACAGTTGATTTGGGGGGTGTCAGGGCCCAATGCACCTCTTGGTTTAAGCAAACAAAGTCCATGCTGGTGGCATCAGGGGAAGAAAGGAGATTGTAAGAGTTTGCTTTCCTTCGCCACAGTGGCCTGGTGTGTGGAAATGCTACAGAATTCCTCCTGGGCCCTGGGAGAAATCCTCCAACACTAGACACAAAACCGTGTTTTGTGCAGTCCAGGCCCTGAGACATAGACGTTCTATTAGTGGTGTTTCCCCCTTTCCCAAAAGAGAACCATGCAGCATTCTATGTTCGCTTAATGAAAAGAAAAGAAAAACAAAATTCTACATTTTTATTAAGGTTGATTTTTTAAAACTCTCAAATTGTAGAGTGGCGGGAAGCTCAGAGCACCCCTCCCTGGACATCTCCAGGGACTCCACTTCCCGCGTCTGGACTGTGGACCATCTGTTTTCTGCACCGTAGTTTCCTTCCTCATTTGTATCTGCTTTTCTTTCCCTTTCCCCCTTTCCCTTTGTGCAGTGTCTCTCCCTGCTTTGCAGGGTTCCTCATGGGCCTGGGCTGTGATGATCGGAGAGGCAGGTTTAGAAAATAAATCTCCCTATCTCTGTAACTCAAGCTGGCCTTTGTTTTGTTGACTGTAGCATCTTCTTTGGCCTTTCCCTTGGGCATGATGGTTGGCAGTGGACGGCAGGTGGGTTTTGCCAGCTGAAGTGGGGGAGCTCCTTCTATTTTCCTGTACTACTCTGGGAAATGTTCCCCGATTTCACAGCCAGAGCCTCTGCCTGCGGGCCACTGGGCTTAGCTGAAGCCACAGAACTGGTGTGGGCTGTGGGACTGTGAGTAGCAGGGACACACGTGAGGCCAGGAGAGAAACTAGGTCCTTGTGGCATTTCTTCCCAAATAGTTAGACCCCTCTAAGGAATCACAGTACCTCGTGGATTTGATGTATGTCCAGAGGTGCCCTATATGGACCCTAAACACCCAGGGAACCCAAATTCTACCCTGAATGGAAGATCCAGATTGCCAAGTGCAACTTCTAAAGGTTGGCTCTCTGTCTCCCTCAGGGCTCCTCTTTACGTTCCTGCAAGTTCTCCTAATGGCTAACTATGTTTAGCTGGGGTTTTTGCCAAGATAAAAACGTTTGCTCCAGGAGGAGCCAAATTGTAATCTTGGAATAACTATGGCGTTTTGACTGCCTAAGGTCTTTGGCATCCACCCGTTTCCTACATCTCTGACTTTCTAATGTTCGAACAACACACACAATCCTAGGAATAAATCAGCGTCTCCTTTGGTGTCCGTGAGCTCACACATGAAAAATATTTGTGTACCGTTTGTAATCTACCGTGAATGGCTTCCTGGACAAGCCTAGAAGCATGTAATAATTAATCCACACAAGCTGAGCCCCATGAGCAACATTTTCCTGCTATGATCCACTCAATTAGCTCTTTCTGGACCCAATCAGAAGTAAAAGTTAATTTAAAACCAGAGATTTTCTACAATTAAAAATCAGGTAAGAGAAAGAATGCAATCAGACATAGTTAATAATCTTAACATTTTCACTTGAAGACATACTTAACCACCAAAATGCTTATCCAATGCCTTCTCAGACGTCACATTAGACTTTTTCAGTTCTTTTGCCAACAGCATGACTTTTAGAATTTCCATAGCGCTTTAGCACCAAAGACCATTTGCTACAGGATATGTTTTTCCCAGTACACGATTTGTTGTGTTTTTAGATAATTTAAAAACAAAACAAAACCAAAACAAACAAAAAACCAAAACACACACTTCCTAATGTGACTTTGTTTGCTTTTGGTCTATGTATAGGTGAATTACTTTATTGTATTTGAATTATATTAAGGGTTCTGCGTACCCTATTTCAGTGCCAATGCTCCTATAGTCAGAAGTTTAAATAGTCAAAAATGTAAGTAGTCCCCATTGCTAAGTAACACTGGAGGAGAAAGGTTGAGAAGGGGACATATGTAAGGGAAATACTAATCTTTTGATATTTAATAACACATATAAAAGCTGTGCCTCTTTGTATCTATGAAGACAAGTTAATTTCTAATCTGTTGGATTGTAAAAATTTATTGGTCTGGAGTTGGAGTGGGGGGAGAGCAGCAAGGGGAATAGCAAGCAGGGAGGAAATGCAGATCAAGAAAAGGGCCGCATTTTTAAAATTTTTACTCAGCACGTCAAAATGAGAAAATACCAGAAACCCCAATCTTAATAAACCTGACATGGGGAACCAGTTGGGGGGGGCGGTACATGAAAAGGCTAGAGTATGGGACAACAAATGTGTGTCTTTTTTTTCATCCTGTCTGGTTTTCATAGGAATCTGCATTCATATGGTGTGTAATTGTTTTAAGAAGTTTGCATTCCACCAGCTTACTCTTAAATGTAGATAAAGAAAGGCAACAGCTGTTACTGTAAAATTCCGTAAGTACAAAAAGAGGCAATATGTTTGCAGGCAGGTGCAGCGTTTCTGCAGGCCCAGTGGTAAGCCCTGCTCATTTCATTACACGGCGATTATGACAAGCTGGCGATAACGAACGGGTTTCAAGGTGTTTATCTTCATCTGAGTCAGCGATCCTTCTTTTATGATGCCAGTTTTGCTTTCTCTCTCCTCTCTCTCTCTCTCTCTCTCTCTCTCTCTCTGAGATTTGGAAGTTTTATTCTCTGTTGTGAGATCGTGTAAGAACACACCAAAGCCTGATGGGCAGTGTGTTTCTTGAATTCCAGGAACTGCAAAACATCGCGGCGTCTGAGGGCCAGGTGGTGGTGCTGGAGTGCCGGGTTCGAGGAGCACCCCCTCTGCAGGTCAAGTGGTTCCGACAGGGGAGTGAAATCCAGGACTCCCCAGACTTCCGAATTCTGCAGAAAAGTAAGGGAAGCTGCCCATTCTCCCAAATCCAACCGTTGTCTCCTCTCAGGCTTCAGGAAAAGCAACAAGGGTTTAGTCATTTGGATGAATTGATTTCTGTTTTCAAAGAGGCCTACAAGCTCCTATAAGACCTCCTGGGCACTGCAGTTTAAGTAACTCCCTAGTACTCCCTAGTGTAAGCTGTTACTGGGATTCGAGTTTTTGTATTTTTAGAAATAGAAATTGATCTATCGCTTGATCGCTTTGGTGTTAGGGAGTTTGTCTGACATTTCGGCAGACATGCCCTAGACAAGGCAATAGGAAGAGAGGTAGGTTTATTATTAATGGAACCCTATTCTAATACAACATTTTTATTTACTTTTTTCCTCATGTGGCAAACAGAACCCAGATCTACCGCTGAACCTGGTAAGAAGCTTTTTCTTTTCTTTTTTCCTTTGGTAATGTATCTTTGGGGTTTCAATAGTTCTTTGTTTCTGTTTCAAAGCCATAAGCAGTTCCCTGGAAATGTGAAACCCCCTTAAAGACAATATCTTCTTTATCGTGGGGTCTGTACACTGCATTTTACATCAACTTCTTTATTAGTAAAACATTAAGTTCCATTCAGACAAGAAGGTCAAGCTCAGTGACTTAAGGCTTTTTAAAATATAGTCTTTTATACTCCAAAAGCCAACCAAGCTAATGATGAAAAAACATCCTCCTAAAATTCCAGTAGACGAGAGCAGTCTGCTGCATACTTCTGCTGACCAAAGCCCACGAGCAACCAGACTCCCCGGCGTAGAGATGTGTCTCGCATGAGAGTAGCCCCAAGATAGAAGCAACACTGACTGCCAGGCATTTCTCATTTATGTGCCCCGAGCCGTAAAATTTTATTACCCTACAAGCAGGAAGAAAGTCATCTTAACCTAGCATCTCGCTTAATTACCGGGTCATTTGACCTCATCAGAGTGCTATGTTAACCAGAAGCATTGGGTCCAACTTTTCTGTTGCCTCAAACTTTTTATATATTTTCATCTCCTCATGGACTGAAATGATGTTTATAAAGGGAACAAAAATGTTTGTCTGGGTAGTTCATTCTCCTTGGGACCACTTTCTTTTATTTTCCCCATCGGCAGGCAGTCACTGCTTTTACTTTTTGCCAAAAGGTAGACAAACAGATGTGTGCCTCTCCTTCAGTATCAAGCAGAGCCTCCCTGCCATGTGTCCCTCAGGAGCCTAGACCTGGCTCTGTCCCTTCTTTGAGACCTTGAAGGTTTTCTGTGGGCTACTGCAGCTCAGTCCTGAACCCCTCACTTCTGAGTATTGGGTCATTGAAAGCGGCGTGTGATTCTGTTAAGATCCAGAGTTTAAGGGATGCTGAGTAGCATCCTTAGGGAACAGCTGGAGTTGATCTGGTACCTTCTTGTCATGCGTCACAACTAGAGCATGCCACCCGACTGAATGTGTCAGTCACCACATCAAATACTGTAGTCACATTCCAAGCCATGGAAATACACAGTTTTGTGTTTTCTCTGTGATACATCTTTGTATAAAATGGCATAATGCTCCCTGATACATGGAACTTCTGAGACTCAGTCTACTGCCTGAGATAATATGGAAATCGTAGAGGGAGTTAGGGCATGTCTTTTGCATTTAGTATTTGAGAGGGCGGGGGGAGAGAAATAGGCAGCAAATATCTCTTTTATCTGTAAGAATGTTTATATGAACAAATCCATGGAACAATTTATGTCTTCTGGTGCTTTATGTACAAATAGAGCTAAAATCTTGGGTCAAAAATTCTAAAAACAGGGATTAAGACTGCTTTTGATGTTGCAGTTTTGAATTCGGAGTGAATTCATGCGACTTGCTTTCAGCATGGTGTTCACCATTGTCCTCGCCTCAGACGCGGCGACAATTTATGAAATGTCTGCCATGATCTGTGCTTGAAAAGCATAAACTAACCATCATCCAAAAGTTCAAAACACTTGTTAGAAACTGCATAGTTTAGTTTTTGAGTATGTACATGTTTGAAAGTCAAAAACACTCAGTATACTGGCTAAGAAGGAATAAATTTGGGTGAGGAGAGAGAATAGAAGCATCTCCTACCACCCCCTCCTCCATCCTGTGCTCCCTTACTTCACACCACATATACTCCTGTTTTGGTTATGGTTTGCTGTTTTGCTTCTAGAATATAGTTTTGATCATGAATTCTTTAATAAAATTAGTCCTCAGTAGCTTCCTGGAATAATATGACCACTAGAGCTTACCAAAATGCATTTTGGTTAAACATGGCAAGATCATGAAGAAAGCCATGGAAGACCTTCCTTTTAAACCACGGGTCCTAATAGTATATTAAACAGTCTCTCCTCCCCATGTTCATGGAACTCGCTTTTCTTTTCCCCTTTGTTAGATCTGAAAGCATTTCAGAAAACAGGCTCCTCCATTCCAACCACAATAATAGCATTGCTGCAAACAACTGTTTCTTGGTAGAGAAATATTTTAAGCAAATCTGTCCATACAATTATATATATATATATATATATATACTGTAGGAGCTATTAAAAACAAACGCAACTAGTTTTCCCTCACCTTAGATAATTTTGCCACAATTATATTTACCACTCACTATTAGAATTGCTCCTTTCTCTTGTATCGTGGGCATTAAAATGCTCTGCTTCAGGAAACCTGTGGCTGGCATGTAGTGTTAAATCCATGATCACATTTTTCAAACACCAACAAAAAAACTTTAAACCCATGATTGACTCTCCAGCGACTCTTTATGTGAGTTGTTATAAGAGCCTCAGAAGAAGCAAATGTTGAAACGTGTTTGTATTTAAACAATGTTTTGGCGTGCCTGACAAAACTAGGTATGACTATGATTCTTTTACTAGTAGCCAAATGTTTTCCTTACATTGACCTTGTAGTTGACCATTGGCATTGCCGAGGGAAAACAAAATACATATTGAACTGTTTATTTTCCTTAAATGACCTGATTGACTGTTACATCCAGTAGCCCACTGAACTGTTCCCCTGTATAAGATACACATAGGAACTGGCTTCCCCGATTGTTGTTCTTTAGCCGCAGTTATGTGGAAAGGGGAAAAACAGACGTGACTGCGATGCATCTGAGGCAAGAGATAAATTTTATAGGACTAGGTCAGTGATGTTTTCCAAATGCTAAAACACAAATAGCCTTTGAAATTCAGGAACATATTTAAGCATTCGGATTTTATTACCCTCTCTTCTCTTCCTCTGACACATTCACTCTTGCTCTCTCCTCGATCGCAGGCGTTCAGTCTCTCTCTCTCTCGCTCTATCTCCCCCCTTCCTCCTCCCCCNATTACCCTCTCTTCTCTTCCTCTGACACATTCACTCTTGCTCTCTCCTCGCTCGCAGGCGTTCAGTCTCTCGCTCGCTCGCTCGCTCGCTCTATCTCCCCATCTCCCCCCTTCCTTCTTCCCTCCTTCTCTTAATACATTTCCCTCCCTCATTCTTTTTATCTCTTTTTTTTTCTCTTCACTCTCCCATTTCTTATTTATGTGTAAGATGTTTTAAAGCTCTAGAAATAAAATTGAAATTCACTAGTACCTGGATGTAGCCCCACTAGGGATTAGATATTTAGATAAAGAAAGAACTAGCAAATTCCCTCCCAGTGCATTTGTGTGCAACTGAAACAGGTTTTTCTTGTCACTACTGTGTTGCATCTGTCTTATATGTTTTACACCCCCTTTTCTGTCTAGACAGAAGTCAACTTGCATCACAAATCTTTTCAGACTGTTTTGGGAATTAATAGCTAGTCAGCTTACTTAAGACCAACATCCGTTTGTCATATTACCTGCTCTGGGCTTCTTCTTTGACATTCTGACTTTTCACTGATTGGATCCTTCGTAGACTAGTCTGGGGGGATGGTGTGGGCAGGGAGCACAGAAGACTCTTTTGACAGCTGTTAATACTCAGGCCCTTACTCAGCTGTCTGAAAACAACCACAAACTATATTGAGTTACTTTTATAGCATTGTCTAACAGCATGCAAATTGAAAATACAAAAAAGTATCTCACTGGTTGGGGAATTACACATATGAAAGTATGGTGTCTCCTGCTCTCAGTGTGAATCTCCGCTAACCAGTGCGACCCATCATTCTGGCTCTCGTGCTTTCAAGATGTTTTGATTCTGTGATTCAGAATGTGAAGTAAATTATATTTTGATAAATGTACTCAGGTGCTGAGTTGCAGGGTGTTTGTTGAGAGTCCAGTGGATTGTACATAGTGAAAAACTTAATTCAAATCCAGGTTAACATGGTGGATTAAACAAAAGTGGGCTTTGTAAAAACCTTTGTTCCCAAACTGTGTGACAGGGTGCCCTGGGATGCCACGTCGAGCTGATGGAGGGGCTGTAAGATTTGAAATTTCTCATGTGAACACATGATACTCGATATCTGATAGATATAACTACTGGTTTGAGATAGTTCAGAGTTTCAGCATTAGATCACTACGTTCTTTCCTATGACATCATACCTTTGTAAAACTGAGATTGCTTTTCTGTGTGTGTGGTAAAAAGTAAGTACCACATGAAAATCAGTGTAGAACGTGAAATGAGGCTACCTGTGTTCATTCTGATTCGCAGAAGGTGGTGCAGAATTCAACACATTCACACACCTATTAGAAAGTAATTGTGGTTATTTAGGAATAAAATAATAAGCATTTTCTTTCAATTTATGTGTCCTTTTTTTTTCAAACAGTAACTAACTTTTTAAGACCTAAATACTTAAGTTCTCTGAAGATAACTACTTAAAAATTGAATCTATTAGGTATATATTTTGCTTTGGGACACCTAAAACAATTACAGAGACTTACACTTAGCATTCCGTGAACCAAGAAATTTTGGTTAAATCTCTGGGGAGAGATGAGAAAGGCCCATGTGAGTGTGTACCAAAAAGAAAATTGAGAGACTCTTAAAATTTTAAATGCTGTATGCTCCTACCTCCAGTCTTCTTTCTGCATACCCTTCTAGAAGGCTGGCCTGTCAACTCTTTCTCTCCTGGCAGAGACTGAAAGACTCTTTTCTGGGCAATTAAACATCCCAAGAAAAAAAAAAAAATCTATACATAATGGTATGGGAGTTTCTCCAGAAAAGAGGCCATGTAGATTATGCTAAGGGGAAGACCAAAGCTCCTCTCTTGTGCTCAGAGCTTCTAAGCAACTCCTAACCACCTCAGATCAGAAAAGATGAAAGACATCTGGAGAAATCTCTATTTTAGACTATATAGAAGAAAATAATCAATGTTTCTCTCCTCAGACAGACTAGAAAATCAGAGCATCCAAGAATAAAAATAAAAAGCAATAAGAAGGGAGGAGGAAGGGAGAAACGTTTACAAAACAAAAAGTTCTTGGAATGAAAAAGTCGGTAAAAAAAAAAAAAAAAGTAGAGGA